CCCAGGCTGGGGGAGGAGAGAAGGAAGTGCTGATGTGGAGGAAAGAGCGTGGCTTGTGTCGGAACCTCTGGATTCTAGTCCCGGCTCTGTCGCTGAGGGTGTGACCTTGGCCCAGTTACTTCTCTTGGCTTCAATTTCCTATTTGCAAACTACAAGGGGGGAGTAGGGGATCCTCAAGATTTTTGACAGCTCTCGAGTGAGATGAGGGTTGCTGAGCATGACTGTTTCCCATTTAAACGTTTAAAAACGAAATTTAAAAAGCCTCGTGCCGTCGCGTCTCTCCTCCACCCAGTGTCGGTGTGGGTGCCCCCAGCGGAGGAAGAGGAGGGAGGGCGGCCCCACAGTCTCCTCCCAGCCTCCCCGACGACCCGCAAGGGCCGAGCGCCAGCTGGGAAGGGATGGGTAGGAAGGATGGGACTGGCCCTGACCTGCACCCGTCCGCGTGGGGACCGACACCCTCGCGCGGCCGGCGCGGAGCGCCCTGGACCCTGGACACAACCTCGCGCACGCCCCAAACACGCCCTGCCGCTCGCAGAGCCTCCGCCTTTGTGCGCCGCAACGCAGCGCCCCCTCCTTGCGGGCCCCTTCCAGCGAGCAGTCAGCTCCGAGGGGTTGGGATCAAACCGCCCACCGGCCTGGCTGGCGCCATCCAGGCCCGGCGGCCCCTCGCCCGCCCCTCCCCCTACCTGCTGCCGCCGCGGCCGCTTCCACCTTCACTTGCCTTTGACTCTCCGGCCCGCCCGGCTCGGGCTCCCCACAGACCCGCCCCCGGCCCGCCCCAGCCCGCCCACGGGCCGACAGCTCCCGGCAGATCCGCCCCAGACCCCCAGTAAACACGCCCCCCCTTTACCCCGCCCCAGGCTGTCTGCCGCTCAGGAAGGGGCTGTGTTGGGAGCCCGTGGGGTACCCCAAGGGAAGCAAACTGCTGGGTGCTTCCGAGCTCCGCTCGCGCTCCCCACGACATCCCCTTTCAACTAAGCGGTTGTGGGGTGTGCGGGGGATCCCTTAGTCCTGCGGGGGATCCCCACGCCCGCCCTCAACACCGCCCCCACCCGTGACCTGGATCTGCCTATCGCACTGTGGTTCCTTCCTTCGCCCCCAGACCCAGTAGTGAGGACTGGTAGCGGGGGAGACGAACCCGGGGTGCCGACACCCCACGATTTCGACTCCTCTTGCCTGTAAACACAGAACTAAGTTAAGGAAGGAGGAGGTGGGCGGGAACGCCCCCGAGGAAGCGAGGGTCACTCCTGCTGGGAGGGGCAGGTGTGCCAGCACCGACGGACAGGGATGGGGTGGGGGTCGTCGGGGGCGCAAGAGTTTCAACTTCTGGGTGCCCAGGGTCCTGGTACCTCCTCTCTCCGCTGCGTCCCGACGCCAGCTCTCGGCTGCTCCCTGAGAAGTTGAAAACAAGGCGGGGAGGGGGGGGGGAATGCGGGGGGCCGCTATAAATAGAGGGAGATCGCGGGGGGGGGGGAGAAGATGGCCAACGGGGACTCCCGGGTCAAGGCCCCAAGGGGGGACGGAGGCGGGGCCAGGGACCCCCAGGGGCTCTGACTCCAGGGTAAACAGGCGTGGGGGCGGAGTTAACTCTGCGGGGGTGGAGTAGGGGCTTGGGGAGGACGCTGTGTCCCGGGCTGGAACCCAAGAGACCCTGTGGCTTGGGTGGTAACTCCTCCTAGTCCGGCCGGGAGAAGGAGGGTGAGACCAGCTCCGCTCGGCTGTATCTCAGTGCCCAGGCGGTGTTTTCTGAGACTGCTGCGTGTCGCTTTCAGGGCCCGGGGTGGGTTTGCCGTCCTAGACTGCTCTCTCGCCCTATCCTCCTTCCCCTAAATGCACCCTCCCTGTGCCCCTAGAGGAAGGCCACTTGGAATGGGATAGTTAGGTGGCTGAGGGGTTTCTAAGTTGTCTTAGGCAAAAGGAAGCCAGACTGAATTTCTCCCCACCTGCACGCTTCCAGCGCCCCCACCCCCACCCCACCAGGGTTCCCACCCCATCTTCCTTCAGCCTGGTTCCTGAGTTACCATTTCGGGGGCTGGGCGGCAGGCCAGTTGGGAACAATGGCCAATGGAACTGGAGCTGCCAACCGCAACACCAGCACAGGCTGCCCCCCCAAGACCCCCAAATTGCCCTCCCCCCTCCTGCCTGGGAACCACCCCCCCACCCTCCTCACCACCCACAACCCCCTCCCTTCCAAGGAACATCAATGCCCCTTTCATCCCCACTTGGCAGGGTCTATTGGAAAAAAGGAGGGGCCAAGAGAGAGGAGGTGACCCGGAGTAGGAGAACTGGTCGGGATCAAACCCGGGCTCTCAACAACCTCTTATCTAAAGGACCCCCATACCTTCTCCCAATTTGGAGCACCGAAGTTTTCCTCTCTTCCCTCCCCCTACTCTCTTAATAACTGTTTCCCTCAGAAACTGGCCCGGAGGCTGGGCACCCTGGCAGCTTGCCTAGTCCCCTCTCCCCTCTGGACACTCCCCAATTTAACACTCTCCTGGACTAGGAGAAGCTTGCTGGCATTAGGATCATAGACAGAGCTGTGTAGGACAGGAGAGGGATCTCACCAGCCCTCCCGGTGCTGGGGAAGAAAGAATGCCTAGAGCTTCCGCTTGCAGTGATTTCTGATGCCTCTAAAGTAGTCTTACTTGGAGTGGGGGAGGGAAGGATCTGGAGGTTCCAGCATCTAAATTCGTCTCTGGGTCAGGATGACTCAGGGGGAACCTGATAAGGGGCCTACGCAGGGGCGTGGGGCGGGCAGGAGGTGGGAAATTTCCACTGGGGATCTGTTTGCTTCCGGGGCCTAGGGGTCTCAGCTCCAGTAGGCAGAAATGAGGCTGCTTCTGCCTGAAGATAGGGTTTCTCTTTGTCAGGGTAGGTCCCAACCCAGCCATATGTAGCCCAATCAGGGTAATCTCTTTCTAACTTCCTTCTCTTGGGCCAGAAGCTGCTTCACACTGTACCATCCATTAAGCCACAGTTTTGTGAACCTGCTGTATGCCAGCCACTGTATAGATGCAATTCAAAGAAGGGTGAAGGGTAGTCCTACCCTTTCTAGAAGCTTATGATGGAGTAGGTGGGAGAAGGCATAAAGATAGAAAGTTAAGAAAAATGATGTCTATAGAAGATTAATTATTGGGACAAGAAATCCTGTGGCAAGCGTTTCCCACCCTTCTCAAGTGGGAGACGAGAAATTTCCATTCCCACTTGATGGTTTTAGTATCCCCTGCTGGAGACAAATGATGAATTCAGGGATACTTTTAAATAAGGTTGTTTTTTTCTTAAGATTTTATTTTTAAGTACCCTCTGCACTCAATGTGGGGCTTAAACTACAAAGAACTTACAACCCCAACATCAAGAGTTACATACGTGCTCTACCCACCAAGCCAGTCACTAGCGCCAGTTTGTAGAGAATTCTGGTAATCCTAATGCCTATGTATATAGTAATGCCTACATGTGCAAAGCATGCTATTTATTCAGTTGACAGTCAATACTCTCTGTACATAGAAATTCCAGGGTCCCTTGCAATAAATCAGAAATCCTTTTCCCAGGAGACTACAGCCCACAGACTAGGAATCATTACTTTGCTATAATTCAGAGGAAAAGGGTTTTGTTCCTAGAGTGTACTACCCTATGGAGTACAACCACAGAGTATGTGAGTGGGAGAAAGGAATGTTCTATCCAGGAAGAAAGAGCAAGAGGGAACATTTGGAGGAAGAAATACACAAGTTACTCAGAAGCATTGAATAGTAGCTACTATGTGCAAGGTACTTCCCACATACCATCCTGCAATACTACAAGGTAAGTTTTATTGTCCTCATGGTACAGGTGAGGAACTGCAGCTCAGACATTTCTGAAACAGAAGCTTTAGTGACTTGCCCAAGGCCAACCAACTAGTGCTGTAAATGACAAATCTGGGACTCAAATCCCCACCCAGATTCATCCCACTCCAAGGCTATTCTCTTTAAACCATGAGGTAGCTAACCTCTCAAGCCATTATGGCCCCAGATGAAGAATAATATGGATGAGAGGTAGGTAATGTTTGGTAAAAGTGTGGGCCAAGTATGAAAGTCCTCAAATGCCAGGCAAAAAGTCTTGGCACTGAAGATCCTTAGAGCGTTCTTGAGCAGTATTAACAGATAAAAAATAGTTTTGTGAAAATCAATCTTATGCGGGGCACCTGGGTGGCTCAGTCGGTTAAGCATCCGACTTCGGCTCAGGTCATGATCTCTCAGTTCATGAGTTCGATCCCATATTTGACTCTGTGCTGACAGCTCAGAGCCTGGAGCCTGCTTCAGATTCTGTGTCTATCTGCCCCTCCCCCACTCACACTCTGTGTCTCTCTCACAAATAAATTGACATTTAAAATATTATTCAAGGCTTGTGCTCTTTCCATGTTGGGCCCAACATTGGAAGCCATTTAAAATTCCGAATGATGGGATGCCTGGGTGGCTGAGTCGGCTAAGCATCCAACTTCAGCTCAGGTCATGATCTCGTAGTTCCCGGGTTTAAGCCCTGAGTCAGGCTCTGTGTTGACAGCTCAGAGCCTGGAGCCTGCTTCAGATTCTGTGTCTCCCTCTCTCTCTGCCCTTCCCCACCTCTGAAAAAATAAACACTAAAAAAAAAAATTAAAGTTCCTACAGAGGTTGGTCTGGCAAAGCCACTGGAATTCTCCATGTTGGTTACTAACTTGGACTTGAGACTAGAAAGGAGGGCATCGTTGGACTGATGCCAACCTGCTTCCATTAACCCCTTCCCTGGGCTCCTCTCAACATTGTGGGACAGTCTATAAACCAATTGGACCAGGACCCAGAGGAATGGATCAGGCTGGGCTGGAATGATGAGGGAAGTTTGATCAGCTGGAAAGATCAGAAAGTTGGCAACTTGCTCAATACAAAGTGGGGAAATGAAGGACCCCTCTCTCAAGACTAGGGCTGTCACCAAGGTGATGTCACATAAACATTGCTGAGGTCATAGAAACTTCCCTCTCCTCCCCTGTTTCCCCATTGCCACATAGTCTCCCCAGCCAGCTGGCTCCCACATATCTGCACACACTTACACACAAAGACTGGGAAGGGGCAGACACCATCCGGGTACTCTCAGGTGCACAAAAGTGAGGAAGTGGGTGGTAGTGGTGATTATTCAGTATGTAGGATCCATGCTAGTATCCCTAGTGCTGGGAACGGTGAGGGGGGCGGGGGGGGTGAGTAAGGGGGAAAAGGAAAGAGAAGAACAGGGAGGAGGGACTTTGTTCCTGTTGCTGATTCTGATTTTGTCATAACCCCCATCCTCATTATTCCTCAGTCCTCCCTTCCCCTCCTCCCTCACCTCCAAGTCTCCCTCCCTGCAGTCCTCCCCCGCCTCCAGCTGATCATGGCATCCGAAGCAGAGAAAACGTTCCAGCGGTTTGCTGTCTTCGGAGATTCCTCAAGCAGTGGCACTGAAATGAACAACAAGAACTTCTCCAAGCTATGCAAAGACTGTGGCATCATGGATGGCAAGATAGTCACCTCCACTGATGTGGACATTGTATTCAGCAAAGTCAAGTAAGGGGCCAGAGATGGGGGCAGTGGTGGCAAGGCAAACAAGGCAGTGGGGCCTGGAAGGGTTCATGTGGTAGGACATGATAATGGGTCTACTGAGCACCTGTTCGATACCTGGCCCTGTGCTATTTCCTGTCCTCAGGACACTCAGTGTCAAGAGGCCAAATCTGAGCCAGGAAAGGGTTGGGCCTTGGAAGGTGATGAGTTCATGTTCCAGAATTCCTGGGTTTCTGTCCAACTGACCAGGGCCAAGAATGCCCGAACCATCACATATCAACAGTTCCAGGAAGCAGTTAAAGAGCTAGGCCAGAAACGATTCAAAGACAAGAAGCCGGATGAAGCTCTGGAGAACATTTATAAACTCATGGAAGGCAAGGATCCAGCTACCACTGGTGTTACTGTGAGTGACATTCTTCATCCCTGACCCTTGACTCTACTTCCCTAAATCCCTGATGCTCCTGTCTCCCCTCCCCCTTCCAATGTTCCTAACCTCTGCCCTTAGTAATACTGTAGGGAGACAAAGCAGAAAGCCTCTGAGGCACTGTTGGGATTGGAACAGACTTTAGAGATCATCCAGTAGTTTCAGAGATGAGGAAATTATGGCTGAGAGAGGGGTCCACATCTATTTTAATAGTAAAGTTAAGACTTGTTCCCAAGTGACCAGAGGGCTCTGGGGTAACTGAGTGCAGAGGACTTAGTATCTTATCCCCACTCCTCTTCCTGCCCTTGTATAAGATGTGATCTCTACCCTCCTGCCTCCTACCCGCTGTCTGTTCCCTACTTGTCCCGTCTCTATATTTTTAATGTTTATTTTTTAGAGAGAGAGAGAGAGAGATTTGAGTGGGGGAGGGGCAGAGAGAGAGGCAGACGTAGAATCTGAAGCAGGCTCCAGCCTCTGAGCTGTCAGCACAGAGTCCAATGCAGGGCTTGAACTCACGAACTGTGAGATGACATGAGCCAAAGTCAGCCGCTTAATGGACTGAGCCACCCAGGTGTCCCCTTTCCCCTCTCTATTTAAAGTTCCTTCTACTCTTGGTATCAAATAGGGCCCTCCCAATAGGAGGGACCTTGCATATCGGGTCTGGGGTTGAAGTCCTCTGACTGCAGCCTGGTTAAAATAACTCCTCCAGAAGTAAAAAACCCCCCACACACCCCATTCGCTCCCATACACTAGACTCCTCCACCCTCGTGAGTGGATGGCTCTTGTCACAGTTCCTGCCCGTGGCTGCATCTGGGCCCTAAAGGAGGCAGCTCCATGCCAACAGTAGAATAGAGCGCTGGGTTCTAGCAGAACCAAAGGCCATCTTTAGAGAAGGGGTGTGACAGCAAAGGGGGAGAGAGAGGGATCAGACCCTCATCCTCTGGCTTGCAGAAAGCAACGACAGTGGGTGGGGTGAGCCGGCTGACGGACACCAGCAAGTACACCGGCACCCACAAGGAGCGCTTTGACGAGAGTGGCAAAGGCAAAGGCATCGCAGGACGGGAAGAGACAACTGACAACTCAGGCTATGTGAGTGGCTACAAGGGTGCTGGCACCTATGATAAGAAGAGCAGCAAATAAGAAGTGGCCTCAACAACTAGGGTCAGTTAGTCCTCGATCCAGCATCTTACATACCAGGGAGCATAGCGAACAATAAACATCTGTGTGTGCAGCAGCCAATGACCTCTGTCTTCCATCAGGGAGAGGGATAGATAGGCCCACTGGTGTAGACAGAAGGAAGAGAAAGGCCCAGGAGTCAAGGCTTCGAGTTCTGCGCCCTTTCTCTACTTAGCCTTGTGCCTCCCAGCCCTAAGTTAGCATTCCCCTCTGCAACTGCTTCTAAGAACAGAGCAGATGAATATATTTGGGGGGGGAGGGGCAGCTGGGTGGTTCAGTCGGTTAAGCGTCTGACTTCGGCTCAGGTCATGATCTCACAGTTCGTGGGTTCGAGCCCCGCGTCAGGCTCTGTGCTGACAGCTCAGAGCCTGGAGCCTGCTTCCCATTCTGTGTCTCCCTCTCTCTCTGCCCCTCCCTTGCTCATGATCTGTCTCTCTCTGTCTCTCAAAAATAAATAAATTTTTTAAAAAATTTTTTTAAAAAGGAATATATTTGGGGATAAGAGATAACCCAGATGTGGAGGCAAAAGTATTTGCTCCTTGCACTCATCCTCCCTTGTTGCAGCCTAAGTGTTGTTGGAAACATGGTACATATGGAACAGAAGGTCCCACTGACTGCTAAGAGTAGCCCAGGAGGATGGCCAGAGGTGGGTGGCCTCCAGGGCTCCCAGAGTAGGAGTGCTGGTGTGCTGAGGAAAAAGGAATGAAATCAGAATGGCTTTAGATGTATTTTTATATTTTTATTTTGAAATGAGTATAGATGCACAGAAAGATGCAAAAATAGTACAGAGAGGTCCCACATACCCTTCACCCAGTTTCATTCAGTGGTTATAAAACCCTTCTGTGACCACAGCTAGGCTCACCTCACACCTGTCTTGTCAGTGGCAGATCTGGAGTTCGGGGGCAGGGAGGAGCTTGTTGTCAGGAGGAGTTTGGGAAGGAAAGGGATACAGTCATCTTGGGGGTAACAGTTCAGAGAAGGTAACTTGAAACTCCAGTGAGCCACAGTGAGAAGAATGGAAGGAAAAGAAGTCAGAGAGAGGAAGACAGGGAGACGAAAGGAAGGGAGTGTCAGGGAGAGACTGCCCTGGGCTCTGTGGTAGAAGGAGAGAAGAAAGAGCAGGTTACATGGAGAGAAGAACAATGATTTCGTAGAGAGGAACAGACTGGGAAATGAGGGGGGTTCTGGAGAAGTGAGGCTAGAAAGAGTCTAAGGGTCTCAGGGAGGTCCCTGTAGCTAGAGGTACCTACCACGTAGGTCAGTGAGTGGAGAGAATCATAAGAGAGATGGGGACAGCTGAGGAGAGAAGGGTAGTGGGGATGGGAGTTGAGACAGAGCTGGGTGCCTGTTGCCATGGTGTGAGCTGAGGCTCTGGGCCTCCATCCAGGATTCAGAATCTGGCCTAGTGGATGGACAGTCACTGCCAACTGGACACATTCAGCTTCTTGGGTGGGTAAGACTGTCTGTGGGAGAAGGAAGATGATGAGGGAAGAGAGGAGGTAAACAAGTTGGAAAGAACATTCAAGGCAGTATGACTCTGCATGGTGACCGAAGCTCTGGACATTTGTCCTACCTCACTGGTCTCTTGGGAGGGGACCCTGCCTGCCTTTGAAGTCAGGGAGGAAGTCGTGTATCAGGAATCAGAGGTTTGGGAATGGGAACAGGCTGGTGTATGGTGGCAGTAGGGGGTGGTTCAGATTGAAAGCCTCCCTTTGTTAGTAGAGGCCAATGATACCTATCGGTTCAGCATCACGTTTTCCGGAACAGAGCAGGTAGAGCCTTTGGTTGGTTAGGGTGCTCGTGTAGTGGCAGCTGGTGGGCGGCTGATTAGAGGCCAGAGAGCAGATCGTGACGGGGAAGGAGTCCTCTGTGAATGTACAGTATTCGTTGTAATTCTCACAGAAACTCTCACTGGACTTGCAGAACTTCTGGACTTCTATCCAGGGGGCATGCACCATATAATGGTTTTGGGGGCAATACCAGCTCTGCCTTCTGCCCCGCACGTAGGCCATGATACCATTACAATAGCCCTGGAAACCCGGTGGGTAGTGCACCCTGGGATAGTCAATGTGTAACATGCGGAAGTCCTTGATAGCAGTCTGCATCTTGATGTCCACAACCAGAGTTGGCCCTAAAACAAGCTGAAGAAACAAGAGCCAGGCCACAGCTGGTGCCATTCCTCCTGCTGGTAGAGTTAAGGTGGTTGGAGGCAGAGGTGGCCTAGAGTGGCTGTCTACCCCTTCCCACAACCTCCAGAGTCCCCACAGCCTTCCCTGTGTGCCTTCCCCTATCCCCTAAGAGCTGGACTGTACTTCAGAGATCACCTAGCCCAAGTCCTCATGCCCCAGAGAGAGGAGACACTTGCTGGTTGTTCACCTTATATTAGCCATTCCCCCCACTCCCTTGGCCCACCTCAGGGCCTCAGCCTCAGCCAGTCTGTGAGCTGTAACACTTACAGAAGAGGAGGTCCAACTGCTCCTTGTGTGAGTGACTCTTCCCAATTATCCCTGGCTGTGGTCAACCTTTCCAGTAAAAAAAAAAAAAAAATGCAAAGGGGACAGAAGGAACAGGGTGAAGCACAGTTCTCTGACTGCTCTGGGGAAAGGGCAGGAGCTGGAAGCCAGGGAGGCAGGAGCAGGAATTATTCTTGCCTGGGGCCAAAGACGGCCCAAAGGGGAGAAGAGGCCAGAAAGCTTTCTGGGTAAAGACCAGTCTTGGAGAAGGGCACGTCCCCTGAGTTTGAAGAGCCCCTGTACTGAGGGGGCTGGGTGGGTGGGAGGATAGGGACATTGCAGTCTGGTCTCCTCCTTTCTGCTGCCATCAGAACACTTAGTTCCAGTTCCTTGCCAAAAGGCCTTTCTTTGATGTTTTCTCTGGTCCATAGACCCGCTCCTGCAGAAAGGTGAGAAGGAAAACACTGTCATGTTTCTGAGGAACAAGGTGCTGCTTATTCTTGACCCTCAGAAAACGGAGGGTCTGCTACTCATCCCACTCACCGTTGCCCTGGAGGCCATACGTGCACTCAAGGGCCTCCTCTGAGAGTGCTGGGTTGAGAATCAGAGACCTCCTTGTGGACCCCCACAGTCCCCATCATTACCGTCCCACCGGCCACAACCACACTGTCACACCGACTCCCTCACCTGTAACCTCGGGCCCTGTCAGACCCAGGGCCCTCCTGGAAACCTAAGCACGCTGACCCGGAAGCCTCAGGCTTGTAAGGTTGGGTTACACAGCATAGCTGGGACTTGAGGAAGTGTGGGCCACCTGAGTCCAGAGAATCAGACTCTCATTGTAGTTTGTCATGCTGGGAAAGGGCCAGACTCCCCTTTTCGTCAATACCTGCCCCTTCGTCAGAACGAAAGAGTCAGCTCTCGAGAGCCTGTCAGTGACCATCCTTGGCTTCCGCGTGTCTCTCAGCCTTGCCTCCCTGCATGGTGTCGTCCGGGTTGTGGGCCTCCTAGAAGGAAGAATGGGATCGAGGAGTCAGAACACAGACCCCTGAGTGTTCCAATGCCAACGTGTAGTTTGGGGGTGGTGCACAGTCCTGGAGGCGTTGGAGTACTGGCATTGTTCGTTCATGTACCCCTTAATCTTGCTCTTCCTGACAACATGAACTAAAGTCCAAAACTGAACCCATCCTCCCCACAACTCGCTTCTCCTCTTGTATTGTCTGTTTCCTCAGTTACATGCGATCCTAGACACCCCCTTCCCTGATCCCACCTGTGGTTGCAAGGTGGTTAAGAGCAAAGCATTTGAGTAAAACAGACAAGAAAACCCGGCTGAATCCTTGCTTTGTTGCTTCTAGGCTGTGTATCACCAATCTAAGTTTGCTAAAACACTATCAGTGTCCATTTCTTCATCTATTAATAGGGGAAATATTTTATATACCTCACTGCAGTATTAGAATTCATTAAGATGTATATCAAGAGCTTTTAGCTCAGTGCCTGGCACATGGTGAGTGCTTAATATGAGCCTGAGTCCATCAGTCCCACAGCCCTGACAGTCTTACCTAAAGCTGTTTCTGAACCTGTCTCTTCCATCCCTACCTCTTCCCCTCCTCGGGCTCTCCCCCTTCCTGGACACCACACGCTCTCCATCTCCAGTACTATGACAAATGTTGGGGGCAATACAAAGGTAAATTAAGGGGCGCCTGGGTGGCTTAGTCGTTTAAGCGTCCGACTTTCGCTTAGGTCATGATCTTGCAGTTCGTGGGTTCGAGCCCCGCGTCGGCTCTGTGCTGACTGCTAGCTCAGCGCCTGGAGCCTGTTTCAGAGTCTGTGACTCCCTCTTTCTCTGACCCTCCCCTGCTCACGCTGTCTCTCTCTCTTTCTCCTAGAAATAAATAAAACATTAAAAACACTTATTTAAAAAACAAAAAACAAAAAACAAAACAAAAAAAAAGGTAAATTAAAAAGCTCCAACCCAGATTACGTTTATAATGCAGCAGGAAAGACACCTATATAAGCATATGTTACAAAGGCCTCGGAAAGGGGCTGAACATATGATGGGCCTTTGGGTTCCAGACTGAAGTTCTAGTGGCCCAGTCTTTAAAATCCTGTCCTTGAGGTGCTGATCCATAGCCCTGCTCCTTCCATGCTGACATCCTCATCGTGGTTTCAACTGCTCCCTCAGCCTAAGATTCATGGAATTCGTTGCCTCAGTACCCTGGCCTTTACATCCACGAGAATTACCCTAGAGATGAAGAAACTAAGTTTGAGAGAGAGACCGTAGTTTGCTCAACGTCATGTCTAATTTAGTAATTTTCAATGGAGGGAGGGCAATTTGGTCATTTGGCGGGACACAACTCAAAGGGGCTACTGGCATCTAGTGGGTAGAGGCCAAGGGATGCCGCTAAACATCCGACGTTGCACAAGACAGCTCCCACAACAAAGAATTATCTAGACTAAAATGTAAATAGTGCTGAGGTTGAGAAACCCTTGTCTGGGGCATCTGGCTGGCTCTGTCAGAAAAGCATGCGACTCTTCATCTTGGGGTTTTGAGTTCAAGACCCACATTGGGTATAAAGATTACTAAAAAAAATAACTAAATAAACTTAAA